GTTTATTTTAAGTATAGGCACGAGTAGGAGTTTGGTATATAGTAATTACCCAAGTTAATAGTAGTATTCATTCACTAGGTGGTAATTACAAAGCTGGAATCTGGCCAGGATTGTCAGGATGACATTCCTACTTTTAGAGAGTGAAAACAAGTTCTTTCAGATAATCATAATGTTGAGATTAATTTTATTAAGAATGTAAGTCTAGGTACACTGTTGTGAGTTGGTGCTTTCTTAGCTTTTTCCTCCAGCACTGGTTCAGTCTGATTCCACTAGCACATAAATCACAGCACCACTCCCTACATTGCTTGTGTTTTCCCTAAAGGTCTCTTCTGATTACTTGCTAGCCTGACTCGGCTTGAGTTATAAAATCTGACAAAAATCACAGTTTCGGATCTGCTTCAGGCTAGCTATAAAAACATCTCGTTTCATGTAGTATATCTAACAACTGCTTCTGAAACATCTTTCTTGATCTCCTGTTTCAATCAGACTATGGAAATACTCTTTGAATAAAGCATTACAGTGACTTTATGTCTTCTCCCCAAGCCAGTCTTCAGGGTCTTCAGTTTCCTTAACTTCATTTGCTCCTGTTATTCTTTGCTCCTTTCGCCACCACTTTACCTTTCACTAGTGCCAAGTATAATGGGTAAAAGTCCATCTGGTGAATGGTGTAGAAGCTTATTCACCTAATCTCGATTTCCACTCACTCCTCTGTATTCCAGAGCCCCATCTCAATGTGTTGAGCAGAATGCCCCGTGGCAGAGGAAAGCCAGAGGAAAAACTGACAAACAAGGCGAATGGTGCAGGAGAGGTGAGGAGGCAGCCGGTGGTAGAGCAGGAGCCGCACTGGGGCTGCCTGGGAGACAGCGGGGATGGAGAGAGGAGGGGCAGGGAAAGCTCTGCTGAACTAAGAGGAGAAGGAGTGAAATTCATGCTTGGAAAAGGAAAGTTTTTAAAAAAGATGGTTACAGAATTTCAGTAGTATGTAAAGGAAAACCTGTAAATGCTCCAGATTAGTCGGAACCACGACTGCAACCTTATTGACATCACTTGTTTGCTTAGCACTTTCTTCCTTCCCTGTAAAGGGAAAGTATATCTCCGCTCAGCATCTTTTGATTTATTGCTGATGTAAATCAGCCACAGCTTTATTAGTGAGCCTTTAACACATTGCCTTGGTTAAATGTTGGTGAGATGGAAGAAAAACAAACACACGCACATATGTAGCCTACAGGATTGTCACGGTTGCGATTAGTGGAAGATTCTGTGTGTTTCGAGAGACTTTAACAGTGATAGTGTAGAGAATTTAAAAGCAATAATAACTCATGTGAATTTGCCTCAGAATGATTTTAGGAAATAAAATTCCAAAGTCTCACATAGACGTTTAAACCAGGTCCCTTAGTTTTGCCTGGCAGTGCTCAGCAACCCTTGAGGTCACCCCAGACACTGAAAAGGCAGGAATAAGTCAGCGGTCATCATTGAGAAATGGTTGTGTCCAATATGAGAGTGAACAGGGTGGATTGAAAGCCGAGATTATAAAGAATGTGATGAGGAAAATAAACAGTTTTCAGAGCTTTATGTATAGAGCTTTGAGACCTTTTGAATGATTGGACCTGAGAGATTTCCTCAGCAGTGGATAAATCCGAAATTCTCAGGTCCCAAGTTTGTCGATCAGAAACATGATACAAATGCTATTCTCCTTTTCACATCCTTCTGGGTTTTTTCCTCCTTGCTTACATTGAACAGTAATGTATTAAGGAAATTAGTGTGTGATATAGAAGGATGATTGGACCAAAACCTGCAGTATGTGGTTTCTGAGCTTCATGGTTTTTTTATGTATAAAATAAGGAGTACAGGATCTCCTAAGGCCCTTTCACATCTAAAATGGTGATTCTGTAAACAAGAGGGTTTGAGGTTGGTGACAGCAGTGGAAGATTCATACCTTGATCTCTCCTCTGCCATCACTAAACTCCACTGAGTCCAACTGGAAGGCACAACCCTTTTTCTACTTTCTATTAGCTTTAAAAAAAATTTTTTTTTAATGTTTAGCTTTGAGAGAGAGAGAGAGTGACAGAGCGTGAGCAGGGGAGGGGCAGAGAGAGAGAGACCCAGAATCTGAAGCCGGCTCCAGGCTCTGAGCTGTCAGCACAGAGCCCGACATGGGGCTGAAACCCACAACTGTGAGATCATGACCTGAGCTGCAGTTGGACGCTTAACTGACTGAGCCACCCAGGTGCCCCTCTGGTAGCTTTTAAATCGTGTTTCTTGGAATGCTTTGGTTCCGGTGTGCTTCACGCATCACTGTGAGTGGGTAGGAGGAGACTGAGTAGGCAGGGTTCATGCTGCCCTGTCCTCACTTCTGTGTTCTGTACCATGGGAGCTTCCAAGGTGATCTTTAAAAGTTCACTCCATTTCAGTACACTTTTTCCCCTTCACATAAAAGCAGTGAATATGACAGTATATCTTTGCTAAAGAGCTTTTATACACGTCAGCGCCTCCTTTGCAAAGCACTACAAAAACAGGCCTCATGTAAATAAAACCAAGCGGAAGCTCCGGCCGACCCACGCTGAAGGCGTGCTTTTCCGTTTGCTCCACTGACCTGCCATCATGTGGAGACTTGTTAGAAGTGCAGGATCTTGGGCCCCACTCCAGGCCTGCTGAATCCAAGTCTGCATTTTAACAGGAGTCCCAGATGATGCATTTGCACGGGGAGTTTGAGAAGCCCTGCAGCAGTCCAGATATTACCCAGCTTCCTGGGTTCTTCACCTCACGTTGAAGGACATGTGCTGGATGACGTATGTTCTTAGGAGGGTTCCGTTTAATCCTGACTGTCCTTAGGAGAGGGGGAGGAAAGAGGGATGCTTGACGTTTGTATTTATACCTAACTCCTATTTCCACCCGAGTCTTTTACCACAGTGTGCTCAGAGTTTGTACCATTGATCCTCTCTAGCATTTGGCTTATATAACACTATTTTCTCAGATTCCAATCTAGCATCTCCTTTCATTTCTCTCCTACACCATCACATTCACATTAAATCTAGGCTTCTGGGAAATAAAGCTGAGTTGCTAAATATGCCTTAAGTACCCTTAAGCCACCCATTTCCCATTCCTTTTCTCTTTTCCTTCTTTTCTGTTTCCCCCTCATTTTCGGCTAAATAATGGAACTGATTTTCACAGAACCAAAAGCTTCTATGAAATAATTTACCAGTAAGTGGCAGTTATAAGGACTTTTCATATTCAACATGTAAAATTTTTTAAGGATTCAGTTTTGGGGTTATCTAATTTTTCATTTTCTGTTTGTTTTTCATTTACCATTTGATATTTTTATTTGGTGCCTTCTTTGAAGAACAGATAAGAAATAACATAAGAACCTCAAATCACACATTTATTTGTTTTGGTTTTTTTTGGTGGGGAAAATCATAAATATCTGCTAAAATATCATTTTGTGGGTTTTTGTTTTTGTTTTTTTTGAGAGTAAGCAAGTGGAGGGGAGGGGCGGGAGAGAGAGAGAGAATGAGAATGAATCTCAAGCAGGCTCCACACTCTGCTTAGAGCCTGACACGAGTCTTGATCCCATTGGATCATGACCTGAGCTGAAGTCAAGAGTCAAACCGTCAACTGACTAAGCCACTCAGGTGCCCCGTAATTGTGTATTTTATCATCTAAATTGATAATGAATTGAAAAGTTTACCCATAACTGATAATTTTGTCATCTACATTCAGTTTTCACATTTAAGGATGTGTGTGTGTGTGTGTGTGTGTGTGTATAAGATAATATGATAAAGTTCATATCACTTCTCTTCCAAGAACTCTGTTATTTCTCTTAGCGTATGAGTTATTAATGCTTTCCCTAAAAAATAAATTTCCCCAGAACCTTCTCTTTCTCCCTAGTTCACATTCTATGAAATATAGCTGCTTCTGCACTGTCATGTGCTCTGCCTTACCAACAGGCTTTTTCTAGGAGGCAGCCATCATCATTCATTGCTATTAATTTATTGACTAATCTGGTAGAAGTGGTCCAGAATATCTCCATATGACTAACTCTATTCGAAAATGTAAATGAAAGGGTTGATAAATTGTCAGAAGTATGCAATTGATAGGCCTGTGCTTTAGAGGCTGTGGTCAGAGCTTGTGGATGCTTTCAGTGCAGTTAGGGTGGTGGGCCCTGTACTCCTCAGCTCTTCTTTACCCCCAACCCCTCCCTCACACTATATCTAGTCCCTAGAAGAGATTCTTAACCACATGCTGTTTATCGTGCAGAAATTTGCTTATCAAAAATATATACCATTTTTCTTTGAGAAATTGTGTATCACTGCTTTTGTAGCTGGTGATACTTAGACTTATCAAGTTCTGTATTAACCAGTTTTTAAATTTTTTTAAAATATATTCACAGTAAAAGAATTTTTACATTAACCAATCTGTTGCATACTTTTAATTCCAGCAAATCAAAATAGTGATTGTGAGATATTTCGGTTTTTAAAAAATTTTTCTGTATCACATCTCTAATTTTGTTAATTTTTTTTTATCAACAATCTTATGGTATCTGCTCTTAGTTCTTTAAAGGTCTTTCATGATCATCATCTTTAATCATTTTGGTTTAAGGATTACTTTTTGTTTCATTTGTTGAGCCAGTAATAAGTATGGTTTTTTATGAATAATGAGTTTCTGGGAGTAAAAAACAGGTTTGGGCATGTGTGTTGGTACCCACCCTTCCTCACGCCTTGTGGATTACTCACCGTGCAGCATTGTAAACGATTGCACTGTGTGGGTTTGTCAGGATTCTCTCTCACTCTTTTCCGAGTGTGGTGATAATCGCTCTCTCTGTGATGAATTGGTCATTATGGATCACACTGCGCTCTCCTTAGTTGAAACCTGTGTTTCAAGCTCTGTAATTGTCAAACTGGTGTGATTTGTTTTAAAAGCCTAAATGGAAACTATTTTACGATCATCAAATTTCATTTTTCTTTAAATTGAACTTAAGTAATGAGTGTGTTCTCCTGTTTTAGGTTCGCTTTGTAAAGAATATTACTTCCTGGAAAGAGATGAAACCAGGGTTTTATCATGGACATGTATCTTATTTGGATTTTGCAAAGTAAGTTATACCTAAAATAACACACTAAAGAATGCTTTGTACCTTCGCAACCTAAAAAGACACAAATTTATTAAATTGCTATTATTTTGATTTTTAAAAAATGTGCTGGCTTGCCTTTGCCACTTTTAGAGATGTAATTTAAATACACCGTCTAGTGTTTTACTGCCCTCTAGTGTTCATAAATTGAAAATTGTCATATTAATTTTGGAAATTCAAAGTAGACTAAATGCAGGCAGTACTCTTTAAAGTTATTTATCATTATTCTGTTTATGTGTCTTGTACAACCAAATGACACTATTTTAGGAGAGACCCACATTTTAATCTAGAGGCCAGTCAGATTTTGACTTACCACATCAGTGACTGAGAACTGAGAAAGCAGAGAACCCCATCACCCAGGTTTTGGTTACTTACTGCCTCTGTGTTTCAGCCAAGGTATAGTAAAGTATATACTTTCTTTTGGGCCACTTTGTTTTCGCATTAAAATTGTGGTATATTCAAAAGAGACTCTTAAAAAGATGGTGATCTTCCTTTATAGTGATTTGTCTGAAATAAGATAAATAACTCTCACTTTCCATGTTTTTGGGATGGAATGGGTGTAGGGTATTCCTGTCATAAATCTCTCAAGAAAAGTTCATGAAACTCCAAGCCTCTGCACGGTACGCAAGTCCCGTGTGGCTCCCCCTGGAGTCTGTGCTATGTTAAGGTACGGTTCCAAAAACTGGGCACAAGGAATATTCTAAATATGAGTTACGTTGTGAGTCCATTTGAATGTTTTTTCTATAGCACATAGAGTAGCATTATATAGTAAAATCTTTCCCCCAATAACCTGTACTAACTTCAAAGACATACCTAAAATGTGTTTTTAAAATGATTTAAGCTCAGACCTGGTCCCCCCAGTGATTTATTTCATTAGCAGTCATGACTTCCAACTAATATACTCTCACATATTTGTCAACCTCAAAGAACATTCTGTGTAAGATTTGAAAATTAAATTGATATTCCAGTCTTTTTAACTTCTTAAATTTCAAAAGAGTTGAATGAATTATTACTGATTCAGATACTAAACCTTAACTTATTTAAAAGCATGTAATTAAAAGGGTATCTCTGAAGTATTACATACATGAAATAATCTATTCTTATTTCCAGCTCCACAGTACTCAAGATGTTTCAATAGAATGGTAGCTTTAAAGTTAGATGTACATTTTTCTGTAAATAATTCATAATGCAATATTGAAAACATTTTATAGGCAGCTTTAAAATAAACTAATTATTTTTTCCTTGCAGAGGCGCTGAACCAATTTCATAAACTCGATTCATATGCATATTTTCCCTGAGGGCTGCATTATCCTTCAATTGAATGTTTGTTACCCTTTCACCTAAATGATTTATTTTTTCCACATACAGCTCCGTTTCTAATACTTGAGGTTTCCATTATTAAAATAATATATTGAGTCCTTTTGCTTTTGGCAAAAGTCTTGTACTTGAAGCTCTGGTATATGCCAGGGTTGTTGCAGTTGAAAAAGGATAAATTTTCTTGAAAAGATTATAATCTCATTTATTAAATACTAACACGAATGATTAAGATTCTGAGTTTTTTCATAATGGGTCTCATGCTATTGGAGGTGAAAAATATTGTGAAAAATTTCAGTGGACTTTTAAGAGATTTTAAACAAATACCTAAAAGAAATCACCTGGAGGAAATGTATTTTGATATATGTCATCAAGAACTATTCTAGATGTAAGTAGTATCTTTTAAAACACATCTTAGTGTGACAGGCATACCTACCATGCATGACTAAGGAAGAGGAAAGAAACATAACCTTACTAATTTTTAAAATACTTTATTCTTCAAAATGTATTCTTGACTGCCATAGTACTTTGTGGAGTCCATTAAAATACTTGCCTAGGGGCACCTGGGTGGCTCAGTTGGTTAAAATACTTGCCTTTAGGAGAAAACAGTTGAATTTGGTGAAAGAAATATTTAATCACATAGCTTTTCATATGTCTCAAAGGAGTCCCTAAAAAGCATATAAACTCAGTGTATCCCGGGGAACCCAGGAAGCAAGATAAAGAAATAAAAAATAATAATGGTTTCTGGTTTAGACCAATCACTGAGAAACACACATTTTATTTGTAAGCCTATATGTGCTCAATCCATGTTTTGGTTTTATTTCTCTGGTTTTATTCAGAACTTTAGCTTAATAACAGAAATGTATCTTTGTTCCACGTTTGTATCTCTGTTCTGTCTTTCTCCTTTCTGTCTTAGTCTTATTCTTGATTTTTTTATTCTCAAATTTTTTTAGCATATTTCCTAGTTCTTTTTAGTGTTCATTTACTTTTTGTTTTCTATTCATTTGGTGAACAACATAATTTTAAAGTAATGCAGCTATGGTCATGAATGTCATAAATGTAGAAATTTTCCACTTAAAAATTGTGTAGTAGTATAAAGTTGAATAAGTTCTAGTTCTTGCCCTCACTGAGTTCTCTGAAGCCCCATTTTTTTCTGTAATTATGTTGTATTATAAGCAGTGAAAATATTACAAATCACCCTCTCGTTTAAATTCATATTCCCAACCAGCACCATCCACTTTGATTTTCTTCAGATTTTACAAAATAAAAACATTAGAACATCTCTTTGGTTTATTTCAGTGACATTTTCCTTTACAGTGAATAGTATTCAGCTAAAAGAAAACTGTGTTAATGCTGGTTTTGATCGGTCTGCTGAAATTGTCTATGATCTCACTACCTGTGGATGGCATGTCAGTATCTGTCTTAGATATTTGGAGAGGATTTTTGATATAGCAGTTTTGTTTAGGTACAGGTCGGGTGTGTGCCTTAGTACATGTTAGGGTTGTCCCAGGAAAGAGTATGGGTTTTTATCACTGTCACTTGGTCTCTCCATATCACCCCTGTTGTCTTTTTCAGAACAATTAAGGTGAATCAGTAAAGAGCAGATATGTCAGGACAAGAGACACATAACTGAGTGCTTCACTAGGTCTGAGGTGTACCCGAGAGAGTAATAAAGAGACAATATTTTAGGCCTAATATAGTTTGTTGGTGTCTAGATTTATGTGAAATTGTCCCTCTTACCTTGTACTTCTCTCCTGAGCCGGTTGAAGTTGGCACCGTTTTCTTTCACTTTCAACAAATAGGTCACAACCCTAGAGGAACGCCCCTTAAATTATTTTGATCGTTACAGGCAATATGCGAGAGTTGCCTCTTTATTGACCTCGTGCCGCCAGCCTTTCTACAGCAGTGACCCTGTAGCCCGCGAGGGAGCCGGCTCTGAAGCCAGCGGGTCCCTTACCAGCACGTTACTTCAGGTCTGCGTTTTCCCCGTTTGTAGAGTGAAGATAATTAAAGTGGCCACTTGGTGGTGGTTGTGAGGATTAAATATGATAATGTATGTGAAGCAGTAGCTTCGGTGTCTCACACAAAGCAGTGTTACGCTCTTTTCAAATTCTGTCTCCTTTCAGTTACCACGTCGTCTTACTGGTGTTTCTTTCCCCTACCGGAGTCTGTGCTGGCCCCCCTTACTGCCACCTAAGGCCCTGCACAGGCTCTTGCCTCCTTGCCTCCATGATTCCCTTTGGGGAAGTTTAACATTGTTACTCATCAAGCCATCGAAGCCAGAATCGCTCATTTACCGCAGCACCTGTGTATTCCTGATGCCACCCCACCTCTCCTCACTGCTGAGCGCGCTGTCCCACACAGAGGCTTGCCAGCTGGCCGCTGCCCAACAGTCTCTTCGGTGTAATTCTGTGATGTTTGACCCTCGTGTGTCTGGCACCGTGCCGAACACTAGTGACAAAGCCTTGAACGAGAGGGAAGCAGTCCTGCCCTCACAGAGCTTTCACTGTTCACACCCGACGTGGCAGTGCCGTGTATTTGAAATGGTACCGTTTCCTCTTTTGGAACGTTGGGAAAAAACATTTTACTGCATTATTGGTTTTATAGTGTTATGAGTTGTTCACTTGATAAAATGCCTCCCAATTCTAATCAACAACCCACAACTTTAATATTGTAATAACGTTTTACAAAAGGGTTCTCTATAGTTTTCAGTATTTCTACGTGAACACAAATTTTAGTGACCTTGAATTATTTAATGGTGAGAAAAGTACTGGAGCTGAAGACAGCTGACCACTTTTTACACACAAAACAGTTCTTGTAGAATAGAGCCTATTTGTAAGGTAGAAACTTCCTGTTTAGTTAATTTTCAGTAATTCAGAGGCTGAAAGAATCAAGTTATCCAGGCACCTTGCTTTTTCTCTTAGCTATAGTCTCCTTCACAACTCATTTGCTTAAGGATTAAGTATAAAACATTTACAGAATGCCTGCTGTGTGTAAGACACTGATTGCAGTAGGCAGAAATAAGAGGGAGACGTGGTTGGTTAGTTTAGCTATATGCTTTCTAGTGCCTTTGGAAAAAGCTTTTAATACGAAGGGAAATTTAAATTCTAAGCTATTTGCTAAAAAGAAGGTTTCTGTGGACATACGAGGAGTGGTTTAAAAGAATAAGCAACTTTCATTGGTCTCTTCCCAGAGTCCTACAACCCAGGCTTAGTTTTATCATTTCTCATTGTGTTTCCTATTTTGAGAGATTGCTAATATTTTTCTAATCTTTCAAATTAGTCCTAATTAATCAATGGGCAAGTATTTATGTATCCTAGGCCCTGGGAAATCTATAAGAGAAGCATAGGGTCCTGGGCCTGTTCCCAAACAGCTGATCATGGCACCGAGGAGAAAAGACCTTTAGGATAAACACGAGTAAGACAGGCAGTGGGGGGAACTGCTGGAGAGCAGTAGCTCCCGGGCGCAGGTGTCCGTGAAGGCAGAGAAACCGTGTGCCACTGGCTGCCGAGACTTTACTAGATTGCATTATGGGCCCTCTGCGCTTTACTCCAAGACAGCAGCCAGTGGTTGTTTTTTCCCCTCCTGCTTTTTTGAGATATATTGATATACATTGTGTAAGTTCAAAGTTTACAATGTGTATGTAGTAAAGTGTTTGCCACCTTCGCCTCACAGAATTACCATCTTATTATTGTTGCTGTTGTTAGGATGAGAACTTTTTAAAAATCTATTCTCATAGCAACTTGCAAGTTTACCATATAGTAAACTGTAAGCCCCCATGCTGTCCGTTTACATCCCATGTCATCGTGATGCTTCCCTGCTGACCCAGTCAGGCTGCCCTCCTGATGCGTATAAAGATCTCCAGGGCTCACATGATCTGCATTTCCTCCACCCCACCCCTTCTCGCTCCTCTTTCTGATTGTGCTGCAGCCAGGCCCGTCTTGCTCTTCCTTGAAAACACCCGGCACTTAGCTGCTTCAGGGGCTTCGCACTCCTGGAGTTTCGTCTTCCTGGAACACTTTCATCAACTTGGCTCCCTTCTCTAGTCTCCTGATACCACTGAGGCCTGCCTGGAAAACCTGATTTTGACTTGTACTCTCCCCGCCTCTCCTCGCAGTCCCTGTTCCCTTCCCTTCATTCCTTTCCTTAGTACTTTTTCCCATGTTTATATTGTCTCTACCAAGTACAGTGTTGGCTCCACAAAGACAAGGAATTTTTCTTCCCACTGCTGTACTTCTCATGTTAGAATATGCTGGCACCTACAAAAAAGTATTTCTTTAAATGAATTAATGTGATAGAAAAAATAGAAATATGAGGCTGGCATTCTGGTTAAGGAAGACCGAATAAGCAAAGGCACGTAAGATGAAATAGAAGTAACTGTGATATGTTGGGGGAGGCAGAGGAGGTAGGCCTAAGCATCACAGGCTTCTTCTTTGAGACAGTTAAAAATACACTTAGGTCAAAAAGGTGGTGCCGAAGACATAGGCCAGCAGACGTTAGCAGCCAGGCAAAGGAGTTTGGGTTTGATGTCAACATAAATAGTAGTTATTTCATGTTCCTAAGAAGTGATCTAATAAATGGTGTTTTAGGACTATCAGTTGGGAATTGGTCTGGAAGGTAGACTGCAAGGGAGAGACACTGATGCAAGAAAGCCAACAAGGTTATTGCAGTACTGCAATCCGGAGACCTTGGGACGGGGCAGTGGTGGAAAGGAAGGGAAATGATGAGGACAGGTCAGATCTGTGGGGAAGCCAACAGCAGGAAAAAATCAAAAGGGCTTGGTAACTTAAAAAAAAAAAAAAAAAAAACCAGAAAAAACCCCCCACACTTTAGTTAATGTGTTTAGTTATCGTAGCACTTTTTAAAATAGAAACTATACTTGAACAGTTCCAAACCGTACAAACTGTATGGAGCTTCTCCTCTCAGTGAGTTTCTTATTTCTCTGTGGAATCTCGTATCTTGCAGCATCCTGTAAATAAAGATTAAATAAAACATTAAAAAATAAAAAAACAAAAGGACTTGGTAACTGTACTGAGTGAAGAATAAAGGAAAGTAGATGTCACACTGAGGTTTCAATCGGAGACAAGTGAGGACTGTAGACCAGAGGGCAACTGGACGATTCTGGGTGCTGCACGGGCTGCTAACGTAAAAGGCTTCCGTGTTTCCTTTGTTCCTTCAACTCTGTCTCATTCCCCAGGGAAGCAGTGCTGAAACTGCATCCCTTTCACTCTTGCCTTTAAAATCAGCAAGAGCAGAAGGTAGACTCCAGTGGGCACGTTGTGTGACTTAAGACCGCTTCGGCCGATAACGTTTGTCTGGTTTGGTGGGCCGGAAATGAGAAATCATTACTACATGAAATCAAAATGTTTTATGTAATTCTTGCCAGTAAAATTAAAAAAAATTTTTTTTGTTTAAATTTCCCTTCTTTGTCTTCAGCACTGAGTTTTAAATTCTTATCTCCTATCTGTTTTATAACAAATAATCATAAGCTGTTTCCTAACCTGCACATATTCTATTTCGTTTAAATAAGCTCACCTTCTTTCCATATAGAATTAATACCTCAAACTTACAATTTCAGGATGCCCCAAAACAAATGACAATATGGATTTCACCTTTTACATTTTGTTCTGTTTCAGATTTGGTGTGAAGAAGAAGCCAATTTACATTAATGTCATAAGGGATCCTATTGAGAGGCTAGTTTCTTACTATTACTTTCTGAGATTCGGAGATGATTATAGACCAGGTTTAAGAAGACGAAAACAAGGAGACAAAAAGGTAACGTTTTAGTTTTAAGATGTTTATGAAGGTAATTGTTTATCAACTGCAACGAACAGTTGCCTTTAAAAATTTATTATATATTATAAAGGAACTACTAGCTTATTGTAGAAATTTTGAAAAGAACCCAAAAGTATAAAGAAGCAAAAGTAAACTATAGTTGGTATTTTGGAGTCCACATAATTTTTGGTCATCTAAAAAAATTTTTTTACCTCAGTTCCAGGGCTGACTATTTCTTTTATAATAGTCTTAACTAACCATTTTCTATGAGACCATTGTACTTATTCTTTCATATGATGGCTTCGAGTATGTACTTCAGTCCCCTTAGTCTTAAATGGTGGCAGTTGGATTGATTTGTGCTCATTGGTTTGGGAACACTGTAAGCAGCTGTTTTCTTCAGGCAAGATGAGAATAACAGGAGAGCTCTTACTTAGCATGTTCAGATTTGGGTTGTCTTCTATTTAATGCTCCTCCAGAGTAGCACCAGAGTGATTTTTCTGAGAAACCAAACTGATTTGTCACCTTTCTGGTGGAACACCTTGACTGGGACCCCACTGCTTAACAAGTTTGCCGAAGGCACGGTAGATACAATCTGACGTAACCCAAGACCGACTTCTCCTGCCTCATTTTCCATCAGGCGCCTGGTGCTTCAACCACATGAAATGTCGCTGTCCTCCAAACTTATTATTCCTTCATAATTCTGGCACATGTGTTGTCCCCCATATTTAGAATATCTCTCCTGGAAATATTACTCTGGAAAACAGTCCACTTTGAAGGTCCAGCTCAAATGTTAGCTCTTCGACAAAGTCTCTTATGGTGCCCCACAGGCAGTTAGTCATGTCCTTTTTAAGGCTCCCAGGGCACTCCATTCAGACCCTTTTGTAAAGCATTTATTTGTGGTATTTGAGTTATTTGTTTACACATATGTCTTCTCCAAAAGCTTGTAAACTCCTTGAAGCAGGGGCTGCATTTCATTCATCCTTGTTTCCCCAGTGTTTAGCACAGTGCCTAGTTCATCTGTTAAGTGCCTAGCAAATTAGTTGAATGAGTGAATTCTGCACGTTTTAAATTATTAAAGTATTGCATGATCATGATAGATACTGGATATAATAATTAACACCCAACAGTTTTTCTCTTAAGTTAGATGAGCCTTCTGTGTCACATGAGCAGGTGATTTGTTTTTAAAATTTACTTTCTTTATAAAATCTAATAATATAACTCTTTTGTGACCTGGTACTTCAGAATTTATTGATAGTTATTTCTAAATTCACCTTAATGCTTCTTCCTCCTTTTCTTCCTTAATTTTTTAACGTTTTTATTTATTTCTGAGAGACAGCGTGAGCAGGGGAGGGTCAGAGAGAGAGGGAGATACAGAATCTGAAGCAGGCTCCAGGCTCTGAGCTAGCTGTCAGCACAGAGCCCGACGTGGGGCTCGAACCCACAAACCATGAGATCATGACCTGAGCTGAAGTTGGACACTTAACTGACTGAGCCACCCAGGTGCCCCTTTCCTTCCTTTTTTAAAAAAAAAAAAATTAGCCTTCTCATTTACACTATTTTTACTCAGTAAATGTTAGTACTCATCTCTCTCCTTTGACCAAAAGAATATTAATGTCAGTAGGGAAAAGATTTGCGGTCACATAGGTTCCTACATTCACTGTCTATCGCTGTCAGCCCTGGATACCATGCTTTAGTGGTTCCTGCCCTATGTAGTTTGGGGAATTAGGTAATAATAACGCTTCATGTAACAGTAATAGTTCACATCTATTGAGTGCTTATTGTGCATCAAGCACTTTTTAAGTTATATAGACGTATTTTTTCAGGTAGCCTGTACAACAGTTCTGTAGGGTAGTTACTGTCATGGTCTCCACTTTACAGATAGGGAAACTGAGACACAGAAAGGTTAAGTCCCTTGCCCCGTGTTAGACTACCAGTAGATGGTAGAGCTAGAATTTAAACCCAAGTATTCTAACTCCAGATCTCACAGTCTTAAACCCCCTGTACCCTTTATAAAGGAGGTAGGGAATGCAAGATGCTACCCAACGTTTGTATGTGAGAGTTGTTTCAAAGTTGTATTTTCAATACCCACAGAAAACTTTAGGCACTTTCCTATCATCTCTGGAAGTGTCAGGTAGATATGCCCTCTCAAGCCTAGAGACTTAACCATTCTTCCCCCTGATGTTATAGGGCTTGGTTTGTTGTTGTTTTTGTCTTTTCATGTCATTGTAAAATACATATTAATGCATATGCTTATCTAGATGTAATATTAGTAACATCAACAAAATGTTATTACCTTAATTCTCATGAGGACAGGACTGTCTACAAATGCTTTATTAGAACAGTGACTTTGTTTTGTGATAGACAAAATGGACTTTTTGGCCCTGAAACATACACATTTTTAATAATCTGGCTTGTTTCTCATGACACAAGTGTTGGCAGCATTCTCGGGCCTACACCTCTATGATGTTGTTTTATTACAAATAACTCCACATCTAACAGGCCAGGGCTTTCATTAACTAATAAGTTCATATCTGTAGAGTCGATACGGCTGCTTTTGGCACATGACATTTTTTATTTTTTTTTTTAATTTTATTTATTTATTTATCTTTTAACAAATAGTTTATTGTCAAATTAGTTTCCTACATATGACATTTTTTAAACGGCAGGGCACTTGAAGACAAGGGGGATTAAAAAGTGGCTGTGATGATGCAGGAAACACCTGGCAAAGGTTGGAAATACCTTGCATTGGCATCATTTCCATTAGATTATATATTGTTTACACCTCAAACGATACTTGGAGGCATATTAGATAATATGCACTGGTTATGTTTTAAACTGCAGTGTTCCATGATCTAAACTGCTTCCTCCCTACACTGTCAAACAGTAATTTCAGACATGTTTCAGGCATATGTATACCTGTAACAGCTTTCAGTTGATCTTGTGAGGAACAAAAGATTTGTTTTATTTGGGAAATTTCAAATACTCTTTTTTTTATATTTTGTAACTAGAGTTTTACTTAGTATAATCTCTGCCCAGTGCCTGGAAAATAGGGATATTAAATAACCTAAAGGTAGCAATAAAAAAACTGCATAGAGAAATCAATGATTCTCAAACGTCATAGTGTCAGAACTCCTTTTGCTCTTAAAAATTATTAAGGATCTGGAAAGAGCTTTTGTCTGTTTGGGTTACTGCTGTCGTTATTTAGCAATGTCAATAAACGTCGATTTGCTGGGAGATTTATAAAATATTAATTTAAAGGTAACAGGAAACCCATCATATGATATCACAAATAATATATTTTAATGCAGATAACCAATTTCAAAAAAGTATTAAGTATTGCAAATTTTTACAGTATCTGGCTTAACACGGACAGTTGGATTTTCATATTTGCTACTGGATCAGTCTGCTGAATATGTTCCTTTGAAGTATATAAAAATAAATCCAGGTTTACACAGATATGTAATTGGTAAAGGGATGATTTTAATAGCCTTTTAAGAAGATTGTAGATGTTCTTCTTTAATATTACACTAAAACTTGACAAGTAGTAGTTTCTTAAAGTCTTTCAAGTGGAATCTGAAACCACAGCAGTGAACTTTTTATGCTCTGCTACATTAAATCCATGGATATATATTTTTTATACTTTGGATGGATTTTTTAACAGAGCATAGTTTTGTAACATGCATTGGTCATTGGAAACACATTCACATACTCAGTTATGTGGCCCTTCCAAGTGTTGACGCATTTGATTACATAATATCAGAATATAAGACTATTCACTAATATCACCACTGATCTCATCAGAGAAGTCTTTAAGTATTGTGAAACTGTCAAACTTATGTGGCAGATCAAGTTTTCCGACATTTTATTTTTTGTTTGAAAGCTTAACTTTCGTCACGAGCAGCCACAGAATTTCTCCATCTCCACACTATTGTTTTGGGCCTGACAACTGCTTGTTGTGAGGGGCTGCGAATACACATAGGATGTTTACCAGTATCCCTGACCATTGGCCAGTAGCATCCCTCCACATCACCCCCGCCCTGGCTATCCAAACCAAAAAGGTCTCCAGACATTGCCAAATGTCACTTGGAGTGTAAAAGCAGTTCTATTTGAAAATATTGAGCTACTAGCACTGTCAGTTGTTTTTTGCCGAGTGCAAGGTACACTGTTCATTTGGAGAAAATACCTATCAAATATCCAAGTTTGAATAACTATAGTTTGTCTCTCAGTCCTTCTTTCAATGTAGGCCTTCTATGGCTTCTAAATAATATTAACTGCACCCCTAATTCTCATCACTCACACTTTATTCAGGGACCTAGGTTCCTTCCACGTTGTTATTCTGCTGTTCTCTAAGAAGTTGGCCTTATGTGCTTGGTTGAACTTGGGTCACCCCTACATCTGCCTTCCAGCTTGTGAGACTAAAGGAAGTGGAAGGCAAGCAATTTCCTTTAAACCAAGTGACCCAGAACCTGTTCACATCACTTCTGCCTCCAGTGTACTGACAAGAACTTAGTCACTTGGCTATACCTAACTGTAAGAGAAGGTGAATTTCTATGATCCTGGAAGAACGAAAGAATGGATTTTGGAGATCACCTCAGTGGGCTAGCAGTTTTAAAATCACTGGCTACAAATAGACTTGAAAACTATCTACACATTGTTTGAAATACAAAAATTCTTAAAGAGTTGAGCACAGGAATTAGGAGTTGGCTAAGTACAGAATTTAATACATGCTTATTCATTAATCAGTTTTTATTCCAATAGCGGATATTTAAATTCCCAAAGTTGTCCACAGAGTAACTCTGGAAACCATCTAATAGTGTAACATTTAGGGGCACCTGGCTGGCTCAGTCGGTAGAGCATATGACTCTTGATCTCGGGGTTGTAAGTTCAAGCCCCACATTGCGTGTAGAAGTCACTTAAAAATTTTTTAAATTAAAAAGGAAGAAAAATACTTTAGTATTTTAATACCCTAGTTTCTTATATTTAAACAAAATCTTTGTAATGTTTGAATCTTACACAAAATGTTGGTAGAGATTGTGCATTCACCCACAATCACCTTAATAATTCATTTATTTTCTATCTGGGACTCTAATCAGATAGAGGTGTAAAGAAGCAGAGCACTTCTTCTGAGCTTCAGAGGCACCTCACTATGATCTAGGATCTTTTTTAAATTGGATAGGCATGGAGTCAGAAACCTTCCAATATATCATCACTCAGTTCATTGAGCCAAAGATTTCTTGGAAATTGGAACATGGTAGAGATACATACATCAGTTGTTTTATTTTTATGAGCTACAAGTTGGCATAAATGATAATAAAACTACTTTTTAGAAAGTGACTTAAGCCAGCACATCTAAGTCAGACCATCTAGTAAAATTGAGAAATAATGTTATGGCCACTAACATGAGGTTTTTTGAGTCTGAAGAGTAAACTAAGGTGTTTTCACTTTATTTGTATATATATAATTTGTGTTTGTGTATCTAGCTAGCTATAGAGAGATCCTAAGAGAATTGAGAGAACTCTAAGGACTGTCAGAATGCTTTATGAAAAGATGTTACTGCCCCTATCTTCATCCTCACTGGACTGTGCCTTTAATATTTATGCAGTGCATTTACAATTACTAATTATGCAGGCAATATGCTTGGGAGTAGATTGTGTGCTGTAGAGGACACAAATGCATACTGCATGATCCCTCAAAGAACTTTTCATCGTAGTTGAAGAGAGAGAACATAATACACATTTAAAAAAAAATACATGAAGCAAGTTCTTCAGATAAAGGTATATATTTAGATACACATACCTGGATCCTAAGAGATGGCTATTACAAGGCAGTATATCATTAATTTATATGAATCCAAAGAAGATAAGAGTCCCCTTGGGGCAGAATCATTGGAAAGATAGTCTTCATGTAAACTCCATTGGTATAAGGAAGGCACTTTCAGAGGAAGAAAATGTAGTCAACAAAGGAATATAGATTTAAGGTACATATCACATGTTTGAGAAATGACAAAACAGGCTAATCTGGTAAAGATGGAAGTTCACCTAGAGATAAGGCTAGACTAGTATATTGAGGTCAGAGTATGAAGCATTTCTTAAAGCCAGAATAAGAAATATGGATTTTGTTGTTGTTGTTGAGAGAAGATGTTAGAAGGGACTCCTTCGACTGATCTGATGACTCTACAGAGCAGGTGGAAGGAAGGAAGGAAGGAAGCCCATTAGAAAGTGATTGTAACAATGGAGACACAGGATTGTGGGACCCTGATAAAAGCAAGGTTGAAAAACAAAAAAAAGATCGGAAAGACATTACCTCAATTATGTTAGGTGAGGGAGAAGAAAGAAATGTTAGGAGATGTTCTGAGCTCTTCAGTCTGAATTACACGGGCAGTATAGTCCTGTTGCCAGAAGTACTGAGTATGAGCTAATAGTGGAAATTCAAATGAAATGCACACTAGGTATTAGAAGATGAGAAGTGATGGATCTGGAGGTACAGATTTAGAAGTCTTTTGCCTAAAAATTATAAATGAGCCCAAGGAAGTAGGAAATGTGAATAAGCTAAGGAATGAAGTAGGCAAAGAGAAGTTGCTGAGATGAATTTCCATACCTGGTGGAAGGACCAAAACATGCCTTCGGAGAAGATGATGATAGTACATTCAGAAAGGTACAGAGAACCAGCAAAGCCAGAAAGGGCAGTGTCCAGAGAAATAGACAAGAATCTATTAGGGGCAGAGAGACCAAGAGATTTTCAGAAAGGAGAGGGTGGTCAAATGCTGTGAAGGTCAAGGATAACAAGAGCCAACAAAAACATTGTACTTGACTATTTATTAGGGAGGAGGGGTGGGGAGAGAGACAAGTACAGAGAGAGATACATCCCGTTTATTAAATGCCTACAGTGAACCAGTCACTGTAGTAGATTATTTTACGTCCGTGATTTTATTTCTTCCTCGAAGTAAGATCATGTCCTGCCTTTTTAGATAAGGAAACAAACACAAAACTTAGGTTTTCTGGGTTCAGGATTCAAACCCAAGTCATGGATCTTTTTACTGTATCATGGAGGAGGTCATCTGTAAAAGAAATGGGCAAATTGTGGGCTGTGGGCTGCTGTTGTCTTTTGAATATTGCTAGGATAAAGAGACCACCCAACACTGGGTGGAAGGATTTTTTGGCCCTGTTCTCATAGATTTTTGGTTGAAAGGGCCCTTTGAGTTTATCTCATTGAAATTGAGGTTTGAGAGTCCTTAAAGGCTTACTTAAAATACGGTCAAACACGGTTCTAGAAACTCAAGAGCCTTGACTCCCCTCTTTCACACTTTGTCCTCTCAGAAAGAACAGGTGGCATTTGGGGGTGGCTCATCACCACAACCCAAGCTCCCAGGTTTGCTCTCTGGTATCTCAGTGTCATTTCAGGTAGACAGGGCCTACTATTAAAATGCTTGTGGCAGATAGTAAGTGCAGATAGTAAGATAGGAAGTGGAGTTGATTAATTTTACTACCATACCCTGTGAATCTCTTTCCCTTTTAATTAATTCAGTCAGATACCATGGACAGGAGGGCACACAAGTATCTGAGGTCATTTCTCTTTTTTTGTACAATGAGCTTTTGTTTGCTTTAATGAGAAAAGGAGAGAAGACTTAAGTGTAGCCCTGCTTTATATTCTTTCAAATGATTATTTCACATAGAGTATCTTTAGCTTTGTTTTTATTTAATTTTCTTTCTAAGGGGGGTAGAAACTACAAATACACAATTTCAACCAGTACTCAAGGACAAATTACCAGTACTCAAGGACAAATTACCTGAAGTGGGGGAGAGGGTTCAAGTCATACTGTAAAAAAAAAAAAAAACAAACAACTCCTATATCCATTGGCATAAACCAAAGACGGAAGAAAAATCCTCAGTATCTTAAGTATGTTTTCATAACCCACCTGCCTCTTTGATTCACTGGCTCATCCCAGCTGCTGCTCCTCATGTATTTAATGTTCTACCCTGTTAGGGTAGTTGATAGGTGAGACCTGGGTTCATGGCTCATGTGTGCTGCTTTGTGTTTATTCCAGACCTTTGATGAATGTGTAGCTGAGGGCGGCTCAGACTGTGCTCCGGAGAAGCTCTGGCTTCAAATCCCATTCTTCTGTGGCCACAGCTCGGAATGCTGGTAGGCAGATAAAGTTAGCTTAAATTGATGCTCTTCTTTGTTTCCTCTGTCATCTGTATTTCACAAATGTGAGTGTATTTGTCAAGGGCTGGGTATAGGGAAATTAGTGAAAGACCAGACTACAAATAGCATGTAATTGAATAATTTCTAGTTTTATAGTTACCTTTAAGTGCACTGAAAAGTTTCTCCATACATCTTATCCTTGCCATGTTTTCTCAGATGCTGGTTTTTATTTTTTATTTTTTTTATTTTTAAAGTTTATTTATTTATTTTGAGAGAGAGACAGAATCCCATACAGACCCATTTGTACTGTTTGTACAGAGCCCAATGCAGGGCTCAGGCCCGTGAATCAGGAGATCATGACCCACTCCAAGATCAAGAGTCGGACACTTGGGGCTCCTAGGTGGCTCAGTCAGTTAAGCATCTAACTTCGGCTCAGGTCACGATCTTGAGGTTTGTGGGTTCGAGCCCCGCGTCGGGCTCTGTGCTGACAGCTCAGAGCCTAGACCCTGCTTTGGATTCGGTGTCTCCCCCTCTCTCTTCCCTCCCATGCTCATGCTCTGTCTCTCTTTGTCTCTCAATAATAAACTTTAAAAAAAAAAAAAGAGTCAGACACTTAACCATCTTAGCCACCCAGGTACCCCCTCCCCCATCAGATGCTGGTTTTTATTTTTTGTTTTTGGTGTTACATGTTTTGCTCTCTTCCAGCAGAGGTCGGGGACTATTTCATAAACCTCATTCTCTCCTAAGCTTATTGTTTTAGCCATTCATTTTAGATCAAGAAAAGGCTTAGTGGGTAAATCATTCACCAGTTTTTACTGTTAACTGACATTTTACTTTGAGAGAAGCCAAGATTATGGTTGTGGTTTAGTTACCAGTAAACATGGGGTGGAAAATAAAAGATACTTTATCTTTAATAAAGAGTTTATTTCCTCAGCATGTGCAGAGTTTTCAGTTTTAAAAAAAGGTATATTTTTATACATATTTATTTGTTCTAATCAATCATTTTAATAGAAAAAGTAGAGTATCTTTCTTAAAACTGATGAGAAATGCAGGGAATGCCTTCATTGTTTTCCTCATTATTTGAGACATGTTAGTGGATCACTGTGAACCTTAAGGTCTTACTTAATAGGTTTATCAAAGCATAATAACAGCATAATCAGCATAGGAAGAACATCTCAATTTTTAATCATTTCCTTAGAACAGGGATTGGCACATTACAACCTAAAGACCAAATTTGGCCCATCACCTGTTTTTATAGTTTTATTGGAATACAGCCATCTCCATGTATTTACTTATTGTTTGTTTTTATGCTGCAAGAGCAAAGTTAAGTAATTGTGACCAAGAACATATGGCCTGCAAAGCCTAAGGGTATTTACTCTCTGGCATTTTACAGAAAAAGTTTGCCAACCCCTGCCTTAAAGCAATAAAGGGTATTACTCTTTGGAACATTATTAGAAGATTTTAATTGAACTTCTTTAGTATGTTTCATAGATTCATAGAACTGGGAGGGACCTTCGAAATCAAGTACCCCTCCCCCCACCAAGGACATTAATAAAAGAGCATTAAGGCTTTGGATGGACCTGTGTTTGATTTCTCCATAATATGCAGGGTCAGAGGCATCAAAAGTTCTTAGCAGATTTCACAGCCAGATTGTTAATTCCTTTTCTTCGGTTTTAGGAATGTGGGAAGCAGGTGGGCCATGGATCAAGCCAAGTATAACCTCATTAATGAGTACTTTCTGGTGGGAGTTACTGAAGAGCTTGAAGATTTTATCATGTTACTGGAGGCAGCTTTGCCCCGGTTCTTCAGGGGTGCTACAGAACTCTATCGTACAGGTATATAAAGGATGGGTCTCTTTGTCAAGCTCTCCTTAACTTTGTCTGCAACTTGAAAACTACATGTGATTTCGGTTTTCTTGAGTAAAGCACAAGAAATAAGTCCAGAAAAGCAGGTGTATACTGCCTGTTTCTTCTTACCACTTTCAGTACAAAACAGTGCCTGGCACACACACACACACACACACACACACACACACACACACACACAAAATATTTTTTGAGTAAATAAACATGCATTAAATGATAATTAGAAGGCATTGTAGGAATCATGGAAAAATGTGATCTACAGAACGAACCTGAGTTGGTTAGCACTAAGAAATGTGTAATATTAACTAATGGCAAATGCCAAACATTATGACCAGACTGCACCTTCGACCTACCTGCCGAATGCTGTTTAAAGTAGGGGTGAGCTGGTGAGACTCGGTCACATTCAGCATGTGCCATGTCTGTTATGGTAAGGGTGCTTCAGCAGCCTGGACACGATGACATATCTGAAAGTGACAGGCTCTGGGCCAGTCTCATTCTGATTTTGCCCCTCTTTGGTAAGGTGCAACATAGCGACTCTTCCTAGAGTATGCCTTTGCCCTAGCTTCTAACACATAGAGAAATCAGATTATGGTAAAATTAGTATTAAGTTTGAAAATAGATATTTTATCATATTTTAAAAAATAAACTAGTCAGAACACCAAGCATTTGAGAATACAGCGGGTAAGGTGACAGCCTACACTTCACTATGTGGCGATCCTTATTTTTATTATTTGACAGCTAATTAAGTCTGTAACAGGTTAAGGATTTACATTATAAAGGAATAAATCACAGTTCTAGTAGTATGATTAGGGCACCATTTCTGTCTGAATGATATTAATGCACGACAGTTACGTTACCCCCTCCTTCAATGTGCCGCATTGACTTAATCCATCTTTTCACATAAAGAAGGATCCATCTTTTGTGTGTTCTCACAAGTATTTACCTCTTCTCTTTCTCCTTTGTAAGTAGGAAAGAAATCTCATCTTAGGAAAACCACGGAGAAGAAGCTCCCCACTAAACAAACCATTGCAAAACTGCAGCAGTCTGACATATGGAAAATGGAGAATGAGTTCTATGAGTTTGCCCTGGAGCAATTCCAGTTCATCAGAGCCCACGCTGTACGAGAAAAAGACGGAGACCTCTACATCCTCGCACAAAACTTTTTCTATGAAAAGATTTACCCTAAATCGAACTGAGTAGGAGTTGGGACTGTTAGATTCCTGAACTAAAACTTTGACCCTGTCTTCACCTTAGTTATCAGCTCCACAACTCGGTTGCTGATAGGTGTATAAGACAGTTTGTATTGAGCCAAGTTAGGAAACAGAAACACCGAGGAAGTAGATACTGGCTGGTAAGTTTCAGTGGCCTAAGAAGTTTAAGTTTCAGCCTTTTTTTCTTTCTTTTCTTTCTTTCTTTTTTTTTTTTTTTCCTGGTTAAATTTTCATGGGAGTTATAACCTCCTGCCTGGAAAAAGCCTACACATCACCTGAAAATAAACACATAACAGGTCTAATCAGAGGCTAAATACAGTTTCACAAAAAAGTTCTGATGCTCTCTTTTTGATAAAGCATTTTTTTCCCCAACTAACCATGAATGAAGATGAATCCATTTGCTACTCCCACCTTCACCTGGAGGTTCGAGATACACACCTCTACTGAATAGTGTTACTAACTGTTGGGCAGTGTGTGCTTTGCTTCTGTGAATCCTGTCTCATGAAATTTATTGGAATGTTTGGTCCTGTTTGCTAAGAACGTCTCTGCTGTAGTTGGAATTGCCCATATTTATGTAGGTCGTTTTAATATTCTTTAACCAAAAAAAAAAAAAAAAGACCATTAGTGTTAAAAACCAGTTTTAAAAGAATCAAAGCAGTATTTCTCATTCCTGTCTCCCCAGTACCTAAGAATGAGGAGACACTTGAAAGAATGCTGACATTTTAGTTTAAGGCTTCCACACATCACTATCAAAAAAGTAGGCTTAGTATTCGTTCCCCCACAGGTTGTTTTTAAAGCCTGGAACTGACATTGGGGACTCCATATTATAACTCCATCAGTGAGCTGTGGTGTGGGTAGGATTTTCCTACTTCTTCTGTACTTTTACTTGTAGACTATTTTTACTAAGGTGCTTTATAATGTGTTTTAAAGCGTTGCATTTACAAAAAAAGAAAGGAAAATGCTGTAAATATTGCATATTTTATGTATTTGGACCAAAAGGTTATAAGTAATTAGATAAAAGTGGTTTTGCACCAGTTTTATTATATCGAGTAAAATCATCAGACCTACTGCTCTTATAGTTCTCGTTTAACTTTACTATTAAGACATCACTGAAATGAACTTCAGTACCTTTCGATTTTGATACACAATACGTTATTCATAATTGGGGCAGTAGTTATAGTGGGAAGAGTACTGGACCAGGAGTCAGAAAATTTGATTTCTGGTCCTGGCTCTGCCGCTTATCAGCTGTGTGATCCTGGGCAAGTCACTTAACCTCTCTTTGCCTCAATTTCCTCATCTTGAAATGAGGAGACTAATACCTGCTGTACCTACCTCACAGGGGTGTTGTGAGGATTACCTGAGATGGCATGTGAAAGCACTTTGAAACTGTAATGCGCTATATAAACGGAAGGTATTATGGAAACATCGTTAACGTATGGCTTCGTACCATTCATTTTTTAACAAAGAAAGGGAAAAGTTCACGTAAAAGCCGGTTGGGGAAAAAGTGAATCTTGATAGAAATTTGTGTTTGATAAATATCTCCTCTCTTTTATCTTCCCTGTTTCAACAACTATGGAAATACGAAACACCTGTGAACTCTTAAGATTCATGAACAGCTGCTTGAATTCAGGAGCTCCCTGTTTGAAAAAGACTGTGCTAGCTGACTCAGGGCAGGGTAAAATTTGCTCTTCAAATTTGGGAGATTTGTCTGTTTTTATTTTTCATTACCATTCAGAAATGGTATCTCTTTTTTACCTCTGGTTGTTAAGGTATATTTTGCAGAGTTTAATTTCCCTGTGCATTCTTTGCCATCTTCCCCTTCTTAGAGTAACCGAGATAAAGCTTTTTAGAAACATTTTCTAAAAGAATAGTCTTTACTATGTTTAGTTTAAATAAATACTATTCCTGAACAAGTCCTCACAGACATTTTCGGCAAACATTTTAGGCAGACTACTTCAAAGGTTATTAATTGTATGGGAGGTGAGGAGGGAGCACTACTTATCAAAAAAACAAACAGATTTAAAGAAAAGCTAAAGGAAGTTGATGGAAAGAATCAGTTTAGCACCCTTCCCTCCCACCCCCAGTTATAGGAGAATATTAAGAGAACATTGACAGGCATGCTTTTCTCACTTGGCTTTCTTCCTTTTTTGTGTATTTATTAACTTTTACGGATATTTGTTGAAAATCTGTACAAATTGTTCCCTTGCCCAAAAGGAAAGCACCGCTTCATGTGGGGTGTTTGACATTTATTCTAATGAACCCCCAGGTTTTTCTTGGAGTATGTGCTAAAATCTTCTTGTGGTACATTAACTCTTAGGAAACTAGAGTAGTATGCAGTGCCCTACACCATGGGTTCAGTCAGCTTTTCCTTCAAAGGTCCAGAGAATAAATATTTTAGGCTTTGCAGTCTGTACAGTCCCTGTCAGAACATCTCAGCTCTGTCGTGTCACCACAAAAACAATGATAGACAACACATAAATGAGTGTGCATGGCTGTGTTCCAATAAAACTTTATTACAAAAGCAGGTGACGTGCCAGATAGGGACCACGGGTTGTAATTTACCAACCCCTGGAATCGATCACTATTTATGGAAAAGTCATTTTTAAATCTGTATTCTAGTGACCTACAAGAGTTGATATACTTCCAAAAGGTCCTAACTTCTATCCAAAGAGTATCTTTCTCCTTCAGGCGGTCTCTCCCACAGATTCATAAACTGTTATGACCTAGATTGCTTCCAGGTGAGCATGTTTTCTTTCCCAGTTTAACAGTTCAGAATAGAGGGATTTACTCTATCATCCTGTAGGAAGGGTTAGGGAGTGTCCTTCCTGGAGACTGAGAAAGGGTTAGATACAATTCCGTCTGGTCCAGTACAGTCCTAGGAGTCCGGCAAGTGCAGAGTCCTCGTAATACCTAACTTTATAATAAAAAAGAATCACTGAGACAACAATGTATTTTTTAAAAGTGGCAAATGTGGTTTTCTTTTTCCAGCCTTTGCGCTTTTCAGTATTTTGACCATAGGGATTTTTTTTTTTATAATACAAAAGCAGATTAACCACTCTGAATTTTAAAAGATGATGTTAATGTGTGTGTGTGTGTGTGTATACATCTATGTTTATTTCCTGAAAGAGGAAAAAGTACTTTTTTTGTTCAACTTGTATCAACTCCTGTTTTCTAATTGCTGTGAAATGGCAATGTTGATAAATTATTGTGACTGTTTTAAAATGTAATGGGGAGGATATATTTTGATTTTACGGAGCTTTAATCTGTAAAGTATCACTTAAATATATCTGATAGCAACACTTAAAATATTGCATGGGGATTACTTTTCTATCATCCAGACCCATTTGTGCAACTTTGAATATATTGGGTGCTTCTGAATTCTTGATGATTGGGTTTCAATTATTGAAAATCAGAGAACTTAAACTTACTGACTTTTAAACTTTAAATTTTATTTTCTAGTCTTAAAATTCAGTTAATGCCTATAATTTGAAGTCTGTTGTTGCTCTTTCTCAATATATGTCCTATTGGAAAATCCTAAAATTGTTAGTGCCATCAGTGATTTACAAACAGTATTTTGATATTACAGATGATTTGCTCATTGTATTTGCATAGTTAGAAAGAAAATAGTTTGTAGACAACGATTCTCTTTTTCTAATAAAATGAAATAAAAGTTCCTAAAAGCACTAGAGGATTTAACTAAAGGCTGGTTCCCAAGTGCATAGCTGGTATTTTAATTTCTATTCAAATTCTATGTAGAGAACATCTGTGTAAGCCATCTATCTGGGTTTTCCCATTGGTCATTTCCAAACACACCTATGGTCCTCGAAGCCTTTATTATGAGAAGTACTGTACGGTACTGTAACCTTTTATGAAGTTTGTCGGTAAGAGGCCCAGGTGCTTCCACTTCATGATTTGAAAATTCGCCTCTTCATAAATTAGTGCTATTTACTTTGAGAGGAAGGGCGATTGCTGTGAGATTTTTGCATCCATTTACCCTCTGCAGAATCGCTGTACCATGCCAACCAAACTGCTGCTCAGGCAGCCTTTTGAGGGAGAAACATCCCTGTTTCAAATGCACTGCCAATTCAGCTCCTCTGGAGTGGGGCTTACTTTCTGGTTTCCTGCAGCGGGAATTTCAGAGATTGTAATGGGCGATCAGTTAGTCAGATTCATCCTATAGTTTTAAGTTCGTGCAGCTTTGTGACCTTTGCAGTACTATTTATAGAAGGACACTGATGGTGATGATCTCTTTAAAACACATTACTGGTGAGCCTGTGATTCCGACCCGCTGATGCTGTCAATCTGCTTTTTTAGACAGCTTCCCTAGCTATCTGTTGAGAGTCAGGAACGTGAGCATCTCTAAAGCAGCGTTGAATGTAATTTTGAGAAACATGGATTGTGTATTTTGACTTATTTTATGAATGCCACAGACAGCTAAACAGTGCCTTTCCCCCCTCACAATCCATGCTGGAAGATGCTCACCCCTTCCTCTGTCTCCGCTTTCTCTCCCCTCCCTCTTCCCCCATTCACTTGATTCATTTATGCAATACTGTTTCCAACTTGAAACCATTTTGTCACATCTGTTGGAGAGATAATCACTCCTTTTCCTTAACATTCTGCCAGCTTTCTGTTGTTGAAAAGTGTTTCAGTTGATTACCTAATGCAAAAGCTATAAAATAAACACTCAGTGGGAAGGGGAAAAATGGTTTGGTGTCCTGTTTTAATATTTTCTTCTGTAGCCTTGACACTGATGGACGTTTTCCAAGTGGACTCAGTGTTGAATGCCTCGGTTATCATTGCCACCAGAAACGTATGCATCATCACTGGTCTGCAGTGATTTTCTGGCTTATTTGTGACATGCAGACTGACACGCTTTTTGCTTTGTACTTCATCATGAGTACTGAAATGTTCTGAAAGAAAATTTACAAGGTATACTTGGGATTATACACTTAATTAGAAGAATAAAGGAAATACGAAAAGGACTATCAACTTAGAATAACAAGGACATTCGAGGAGGGGGAGTTAATCTGATTCACATTTATTGCACAGTGTAGACATGCCCATAGTGTTTTTTGAGACCACACGTCGCTAATGATTACTTTTTTTTTTCCTTATAGGAGAGACTCTCGATTACATAGATTGCCAATTCCCAGCCACTGGCTCATTGTTCTGGGCGAGCCATTGGTTCTTTTTATATTATATGGTATCGTGTTGAATAACATATGAGGTCAGTGATAAACGGAGTTTGGTCTGTACCCACAGAACATGGATTTGAGAGTCAGAAGGCCCTGCCTTTGGCAGTGTGACTTTAGTAGACAGAGAGAACAGTGTTGTGAAGATTGGGTATCACGGATACAAAGTGCTGCCCCGGGGCTGACTAATAACTAACTGGCTTTTTCATGGCTCTCTGAGGACATCGGGAGGAAGCTGGCCGGCCCTTCTCACCCTGCAGAGGGTTGTGTGCTGTATAGATCTTTTTGTAAATAGTTTTGAATGACACTGAATTTAACTTTTTACGACAGTTATTATCGCGATGCCTCTTCACGAGGCTATAACACATATACCTGATTCCGATACGTGCTCTTGTCTCCATGTACAAATTTCCTGTGAGAGAAGTGGGGGCTGGGAGGTGCGGCTCACTGTGCTGGAGGAGACTGGACCTGCATCCTCTGGACATGGCTGTGTCCACATAGCCTATGGGAACAACGTGGTCTACCAGGAAGTACGTGTATAAAGCTCAGGCTATGTGGACTGAACTACACTCTGTAAGAAAAGAGAACACTCGCCTTAGTGATAAGTCAATTGATCATGTTAGAATCCCAGGGTTTTAGGACATCTGAAAACAAGCCTAGTACGCAATGATTGTTGCTTCAACCTTCCCATTTCACTGTACTCCCGTCATCACTACCTACTTTTTTTAATAGAGTAACCTGGTGAGCTTTATTATTCTTTTAAAGTAACCTCTGCACCCAACGTGGGGCTCAAACTCACGACCCCAAGGTCAAGTGTCACATGATCTACCGACTGATACAGGCACCGTCTGTTTTTTAAAGCAGCGGTTAAGCTTTTGGAATTTTCTCCCAGCAGTAACAAGTACAGAAATGCACATTCCAAATCCCTGTCTGTCTGTCTGTCTGTCTGGAGGCATCTCCCTACCCAATGCCTCACCTTGTCTTCATTACCCCCTATTTCATCTTTGTTACCACAGAGCACAGGTGTGCCACCCGGCAACCAAACAAAACCTGTAATAACAGCACCACCAACAAAATTGTCTTCAAACACGGGACTGTTTTTATAAAGGCTATTCTCTTTGCGGTTTGCTAGATTCTAGCAGCCTGAGACTAAACATAAGAAAGTTAAAGCTGTTCCAAGGGCCTATGTAAGGGATAATGGATTCAGATCATGTAGTTACCACTTAAGACCTGTGAAGGGA